AACCCCTCTAAAACCAGCCTGGTCAACCAGATAAAACCAGCCAACCAGCCTAGGCTGGTTTAAGTTGTTTTTTTCAGCATGTTTGACTGCGTGAGATCAACCGAAGATCAAAACGTGACCTCTTTGGACAGAAATTTTAAACATTGAGCAATCGCCTAATGCCTAATCATCTTGTTTATTCCTGCCCATTTTTGCAGCACTGCACGACAGAATTTCACACACAAACTCTGGTGTGACCGCAGCTTTAGTTCCTGTAGGGCAGCAGCTCTGCAGTTTAATTCCAAACCTAATTAAACACACCTGATCGTGCTAATCGAGTCCTTCAAGTTTGCTTGAAACCTACGGGCAAGTGTGTTGAAGCAGGGTTGGAACTAAACTGTGTGGGGCTGAGTTTGCCCCCCTGCTTTAAGACAAGATTGGTGACGCCATTCTCAATATGAAAGTGGTTTATTTTGTCTTGAGCACTGACTAGCATGGCTGGCATCAACACGCTGCTCTGGAAGTTTCTGTTCTCCCGCGTCACTCTTCTGTTCCAGTTAGTTCAAACTCACACACTCACAAGGCACAGTATGAAATGACCACATTTTGTTTCCGCAGCGTGATATTATGAAAGATTTAAGCATCAAAATATCCAGCAAAGAAGAGCAGTCTCTGGTAACCGGCGCCGAATGCTCCTCGTTCAGCTTTTCCAGACTTCCCATTTTGTTGAAGACTCTTTATTTCCCTCAGCGTGGTTGTGTATTTGGCATATTTTGCAGCATGTTGCAGCAGATGCACCGCAGCAGCTGCTTTCTGTGTTGTCATGTCATGTTGGTGATGATGATGATGATGATGCTGCTTTACCCATGATGCTTGATTCTCCTCTGCGCTGGCTTTTAGTGACCATGTCCCATAGCGAGCAGGTTATTAATGATGAGGATTGGTCTGAAACATGCATCATGTGTTCAAATATAGAGCGAGTTTAGTCGTCATTTTATCATCATGTAATTGGGGAATTTATGAATGTTTATGAAAGATCCTACAGAAATATCTGATCAGGTCAGAGCTCAGAGTTGATGTGGAAAATATTGTATAGCTGCAAAAGCTTTAGGAGTTTATGATGTGAATCTTTTATTTGACAGTACACTACCTGATAGAAGTCTTGTTGTGGATCTCAGTTGTAAGAGCAACACATAATAACTTGACTTCTAGTTCACCTGGAAAAGTGTCAGAAGGGGGATTTTTCCCATGATTTTCTGTTGATCTGCATCCCAATCATCACCACTGCAGAAGACCTACTGAAACCAGTATGGAGCCAAGATTGTCACAGAAATCAGTCAAGTTTGGTGAAGGAGAAATCATGGTTTGGGGTTATATTCAGTATGTGGGCGTGCGAGAGATCTGCAGAGTGGATGATCAACATCAACAGTCTGAGGTATCAAGACATCTGTGCTGCCCATTACATTACAAACCACAGGAGAGGGACAATTCTCCAGCAGGATAGCGCTCCTGCTCATACTTCAGCCTCCACATCAAAGCCCCTGAAAGCTAAGAAGGTCAAGCTGCTCCAGGATTGGCCAGCCCAGTCACCAGACATGAACATGATTGAGCATGTCTGGGGTAAGATGAAGGAGGAGGCGTTGAAGATAAACACAAAGAGTCTTGATGAGCTCTGGGAGTCCTGCAGGAAGGCTTTCTTCTTCATTCCAGATGACTTTATTAATCAGTGATGTGAGTCATGTCAGAGATGTATGGATGCAGTCCTCCAAGCTCATGATGGAGTCAGACACAATATTCATTCTGTCTCCACTGCAGCAGGACTTTATATTCTATACTGGACATTATTTCTGTTTAGTGATGAGACTTTAGTCTAAGCAGAGTCAGACCGCACTGTCTTAATGAAAACATTAAAGGCATGATCATATTTTATTGTGCTCAAATAAGCGTCATCTAGAGCAGGAGTTCTCAATCTTTTTCATATCGAGGTCCACCTCCAAAAATGTTTTAAAGGGCCAAACTGATTGTCTAGGGAAAATGCTTATTTTTAAGCTTAATTTATTAGCGAAATAATAATTTTGCCTTCTGTTATTCTCTTATTATCATTTTATATAAAAAAAAATGAAACATTGTGCATGTTTATATATGTATGTCTTTTTTATATCATATAAAATATATTAATATGTACTTATTTATTTTTACAGTTCACTACTGAAACACCACCGAGTCACACTAGATCCTACTGTACGGACACACGTCCGTTATAAAACAAACGCAGGACTTTAGTTTGGACAACCAGGTGGATGTTTTAAAGCGTTCACACGGAGAGAGCACTCATAGTGTGTGAATCAACGGACTTGTGTGACTCTGATACAGTACGAGTCGCAGACGTGAGGCACACGCGAGCTGGTTATTATAATCATCGTTACCTTTACATTTGAGTCTAAATTAGCCTGTTCAATCACAGAAAGCTTTTTGATTGTTTTTAGTAATATTTAATATGTTTAGCATGTCTGCTGATGCTTATTGTAAGGCGACCTTGGGTGTCTAGAAAGGCGCCATTTACAAATAAAATGAATTATTATTATTATTATTATTATTATTATTATTATTATAAAATGGGAAATGCCATTACTGCTATCATTTTAATATGACATATTTAAAAATCAAATCAAATAAATATAATTATATAATAATTAATTAAATAATATATATTATATTAAATAAAGATAATAATTAAATATTAAATCACCATAATATTATTATATCATATTTAAGTTAATTTTAAGCTGTCTCGCAGCCCACCTACAGCATCACTAGTTGGCTGCAGCCCACCGGTTGAGAATCCCTGATCTAGAGGCCTTTCAAATAAGCCACTTCTGATACCAAATGATCAACTAGAAGTCAACTTATTATTTGCTGTTCCTAAAACTTGGATAGGCATCAAGACTTTCATCAGGTAGTGTATATGATTTGACTTTATCTGGACTGATATCAGAGCAGCTTCCACTGTGGCTTTGGGAATATGGATGTGTTCACCCTCTGGAAACACAAGGATCTTGTGTTTTGACACATTTGTGGTTGTCTGTGTGCACACATGCGGTGTGAGGAGATCCCAGCATCAGTTCTGCAATGATCCTCCTGTCTGTGCTACAGGAGAAGGAGATGGAGAAGCAGAAGCTGCTGTATCAGCAGGCCAGACTTCACGACCGCGGAGCTGCTGAGATGGTGCTGCAGACCATCAGCGCCAGCAAAGGTCAGACACAGCCCAACACACACTGAGCTGATGCATGTGGCTGATGATGAAGCAGGATTGATGATGGAGTGTATTTGTGCAGGAGAGATGGGGCCGATGGTGGCCTCCACGCTGAAGCTGGGAATCGCCATCCTCAACGGGGGAAACTCAACCGTTCAGCAGGTCAGCGTAACAGCAGCACTGCAAAGTACACTGCATGAAGGGCTTTTCTTGCTTAGATATTTTGTCTTGTTCGTAGTCTAAATATCTAAAATTTCTTATAACAAGAGAAATTTTCTAGACAAGCAAAACATATTGCTTTTATTTGAGAAATAATATGAAAATATTAAGTGAGTTTTCCTTAAAACAAGCAAAATAATCTGCCAATGGGGTAAGCAAATTAATCTTGTTTTTTCTTTTGACGTATAGATTATTTTGCTGACCCCATTGGCAGATTATCTGGCTTGTTTTATGGAAAAACCCACTTAATATTGGCGTATTATTTCTTAAAACAAGACAATGGGCTCTATTTTGACGGTCCATGTGCAGAGCGCAAAACGCAGGGCACAAATGCTTTCAGGGCGTGTCAGAATGCATTTTTGCTAATTTAAAGAAGGGAAAATCCGCTTTGTTTCCTGGCGCATGGTGTAAAAGGGTTGAGTTTATTTTCTTAATGAGTTATAGGTGTGTTTTGAGAATAAACCAATTAGAGTCTCATCTCCCTTTCCCTTTAAGAGTCAGCTGCGCCGCGCCATAAGCGCATTCGCTATTTACAGGACGCAAAGTAAGTCTAAGTGGAAAAAATGAGCATTTCACAAGCAAACAGTTAACAGTTTTTTTTTTAGCAGAAAACTGTTAAACAGAGCATCTACTGCGTGAGAATGAGAGATAATGGATCACTTTCACTTTCGCTCTTGGATAGGGAAACCTTTACACACAGACATCAATTAGTCTATAAATAATTAATTGCGTTTGGTAAGCGCAAAGATTTGTTTCAAAACTATTTCTAAATTCAGTTCTAATTTCCAGCAAATGAATAAATGAACAATAATAACAAAATGTGTTCAAAAACCTGAGTTATATCCTAAAACACCTGCTGTGCCCCATATGGTCTAAAACCTGACAGGTGGGCAAATCTAAGCTTGTTTTTAATAAAACAAATATAAATATGGATATAATAAATAATACTGCTAATAATAATAACATTATACAAAAGCAAATTGTCGAGATGAAGAAGGCATGAAAGCAGTGGTTTTTCATATTTCTGTAGGCTAGAAAATAATATGTTTTGTAATATTTTAATTCTTTATATTTATATTCTATATCTATTCTTATTATATCCTATATATATCCTTAATATTTACATTTTTTCATATGTAAAGATATTTGCCTATTGCTCTCTTGTGCGTATTAAGCAGTGTGTAAGCGAGGCGCAACTCTGCGCTGGAGTTTAGACCGAGTTTGTTTTGGTCTAATGAAAAATCTATTATAGTTTCTCAAAATAGCAACGCGCCAGCAGTGCACCTCAGAACGCCTCCCTTTTTAAACCAGAACGCACAAATGAGCGCTAATGCATTTGCTATTTAAACAGCGTAGCGCAACGCCTCAAAACGACTCTTGCGCCAAGCTGAAACTAGCAAAAGACTACTGCGCTGCGTCTTACGCAACACTGCGCCGGGTGTATGATAGGGCCCAATATGTTTTGCTAGTCTAGAAAATTCTTCTTGATTAAGGAGTTTTTAGATATTTGGACTAGATACAAGACAAAAAATCTAAGCAAGAAAAGCATTTTTTGCAGTGTGTGCTTTCTTACTTTGATTTTTTTGGCTTGTTTCTAGTCCAAATATTTAAAAACTGTTAAATCAAGAAGCATTCACTAGACAAACAAAAAATATTGTTATCTTTTGACATAAGATTATTTAGCTCACACCATTGTCAGATTATTTTGAGAAAAATCTTAATTTTGACATATTTTTCTTTTTAAAAAACTCAATATTTTTTGTTTGTCTAGAAAATGCATTTTGCTTTAAGAATTTTTAGATATTTGGAGTAGAAACAAGACTACAAATCGAAGTAAGAAAAGCTTTTTTGCTTCTTTTTTTTCTGGCATTCAGCTTTTTCCCCTTGTATAGTGTTAAATCATACATTTTCTTGTCGGCTTAGTCCCTTTATTAATCCGGGGTCGCCACAGCAGAATGAACCACCAGCTTATCCAGCACGTTTTTACGGAGCGGATGCCCTTCCTGCTGCAACCCATCTCTGGGAAACATCCACACACACTCATTCACACTCATACACTACGGACAATTTAGCCTACCCAATTCACCTGTACCGCATGTCTTTGGAGTGTGGGGGAAACCGGAGCACCCAGAGGAAACCCACGCCAACACGAGGAGAACATGCAAACTCCACACAGAAATGACGACTGAGCGTACTTTTTTTAATGCACATCATGATTTTGCTAAATATGATGCGTTCCTGGATTAACATCTTTGTTGATCCTTGAAGATCATTCTTGTTTGAAAATGTAACCCATACCTGTTCCCTACCCCTAAACCCAACCATAACTGTAAATTATTCCCAAAATCAGAGAGGAATAGTATTTGGATAACAATCATGTAGATGTGCATAAACCAACTGACCCAGCCGAGGCTCGAACCAGCAACCTTCTTGCTGTGGGGCGACAGCACTACCTACTCCACCACTGTGTCGCCAGTGTTAAAACAGCTTTCCATTTTTAATGTATACAAGTTTCATCATGTTTAAAGGGTTAGTTCACTCAAAAATGTGATCATTTCAGCATCAACTTTACGTTCGCTTCACACTGAAGAGATAGAAAAACGCAGTCCTGTCCAGCTGATGGCGCTAATGCACCAAAAATCACCTCATAAAATAATGATTATGCAGTCACGCCAGGATTTTACAAAAAAAATCCAGAATTTTTGCAAATAAAATGACTGATTTTGTGCTGAGTTTTTACAAATTTTGTGGCATTTTTTATTGTTTTAGTGTGAAAATATACACAAATTTACAAATCTTTTTCTGACCTTGACAACCGTTGACCTCTGTAGTTGATATAAAAAACTCATTAGAAAAAAAATCATAAGAATTCCCCCTTAAAGCCTGCTGTAAATATTTGAAAATAACACCAGTTGTTTGAATATAAATGCTAAGCCATCTGTGTTGGAAATAATGGAGAGGTTGATTATAGACGGTGGCCACTAGTAGTTGCACAAAACAGTTTAGTAAGTTTTAAACATGAACATTTTTCTCACAAAACCATGAACTGACTGACTTGTGTTCAGCCTCGGGAGCTGTATGAGGCACTTTTTGTTATGGAAGGATCCATTTTTATTGGACTTGTTTTGGACTGCGGATAAAAACAGCTTCTCTAAACCTTTACCTGACCATGGGGCTGCTACACTGCAAAAAATGCTTTTCTTGCTTAGATTTTTTGTCTTGTTTCTAGTCTAAATATCTAAAATGTCTTATATCAAGAAGCATTTTCTAGACAAGCAAAACATATTGTCTTGTTTTGAGAAATAATATGCCAATATTAAGTGAGTTTTTCCTTAAAACAAGCTAAATAATCTGCCAATGGGGTCAGCAAATTAATCTTGTTTTTTCTTTTGACGTAAGATTATTTTGTTTACCCCATTGGCAGATTATTTTGCTTGTTTTAAGGAAAAACTCACCTAATTTTGGCATATTAATTCTGAAAACAAGACTATATGTTTTTCTTGTCTAGAAAATGCTTCTTGATTTAGGAATTTTAAGATATTTGGACTAGAAACAAGACAAAAAATCTAAGTAAGAAAAGCATTTTTTGCAGTGTAGGCATTAGAAATTAGAATCCTGTGGTTTCTGATGCTGCCGTTTGATGTTCTTCTCCACCTGCAGAAAATGCTGGACTACCTGAAGGACAAGCGTGATGTGGGCTTCTTCCAGAGTCTGGCGGGTCTGATGCAGTCATGCAGGTACATCAGCTCAAGATTATGCTGTGAGTGATGATGATGAGAACTGTGATGGTGGTGAATGTGATAATGAGGACGATGTGATGATGATGATGATGATAAAAAAGGGCGATGATGAGAGTTGTGATAAATGTGATGATAAATGGTTATG